TAACTCCCCAAAATCTAAACCTCCATTAAACTGATTAAGAGATGTATTAGCTTTCTATCACTGCCATAAAAATTATAACAGGCTTAGAGGCTTAACGTAAATTTATTATCTTAGGGTTCTGTAGTTCAGAATCCAACATGGGTCTCATTGGGCTAAAATCAAGGTGTTAAAAGGGATGCATTTGTTCTGGAAGCCCTAGGGGAGAATCTCTTTCCTTCCCTTTTCCAGCTTCCAGAGGCCACTCACATTCCTTGGCTCATGGCCCCTTTCCTCCATCTTGAATGCTGGCAATATTGCATCTCTCTGATCTTGCTTTCTTTGACTATCTTTTTCTTATGCCTCCCTCATTCTCTTTTAAGGACCCTTGTGGTTACATTAAGCTTACCTGGGTAATCCAGGATAATTTCCTATTTTAAGGTCGTTAACTTAATCATATGTGCAAAGTCCCTTTTGCCACTTAAGATAACATATTCAGAGGTCCTAAGGATTAGGATATAGACATCTTGGGAGAGGGGCAATATTTTGCCTACCACATAAGGTTATATTAAAATTACAATCTCTGGGGCTGACTCCGTGGCCGAGTGGTTAAGTTTGCGTGCTCTGCTTTGGCGGCCCAGGGTTTCACCGGTTCGGATCCTGGGCGCGGACATGGCACAGCTCATCAGGCCATGCTGAGGTGGTGTCCCACATGCCACAACTAAAATATGCAACTATGTACTGGGGGGCTTTGGGGAGAAGATGGAAAAATAAAAAATAAAATCTTTAAAGTTACATTCTCTGACCACTATCTCCTGTCTCTCCAGTGTGTCCCCTTTCATACCCTGGTTCCACAATCCTTTGAGCCCTTGCGGGACCTTTGCTTTATCGAGTCTACCACTTTTTCATGTCCTTTCCTCAATGTCCTCTCTTCCCTCTTTATCAAACTAAATTCCATGGATTATCACTACAATCCCTCCTTTACTCACATCCTCTACTCCTTTGACCCTCTCTTGTCATTCTCACTTGGCAAAACCCCAACTCTGGTGACTCCAACTCTCCCCTAATCTGCTTTTGTCGTTGTCTAGCTGAACATGGCCAGAGGAAAAGACAGTCTCGCTGACCATTCTCCTATTAAAGTCCATACCATGAACTTCAAATGGGCCCTTGATGCTGCCTGGTAATGCCATGCTATTTTTCTGGTCCATTCACTTCCCACTTTCCTAGAAGACTATTTCATGCCTTCTCCTGTCTTGCCAAACCTCTTACATCTACTTCTCCATCTGTACTCTTGGCTCATGACTTGACTCTTTCTTCACTGAGAAATGCAAAGCAAGCAGAAGAGAGCCCTGCAGATTCCCACTTCTCTCTCCACAGGTCAGCCTCTGTGTCCTCTCACTCTGTCTTCCTCCTAATGGATCTTTGGACTAAACTCCAGCAGTCATGATCTTGCATGCAGAAATGTGTCTTTATTTCTAGTAACTCTTAACTGATATCTAGCATTTCCTTCAATTGAGAATGTAGGTAGTAAACCATAGTAGCATTAACAAAACCTATGCTTTTGCCATCAATAGACATCATAAATATTTTTATATCATGAAACAGTTTTTGCAGTATCTCAGAATATTGTACACACATATATCACTACTTTGAAATTATAGTAGTTAGGGGCCGGCTGGGTGGTACAGCGGTTAAGTACACACGTTCCACTTCTGCGGCCCGGGGTTCGCCAGTTCAGATCCCAGGTGCAGACATGACACTTCTTGGCACACCATGCTGTGGTAGGCGTCCCACATATAAAGGAGAGGAAGATGGCCATGGATGTTAGCTCAGGGCCAGTCTTCCTCAGCAGAAAGGAGGATTGGCAGCAGTTAGCTCAGGGCTAATCTTCCTCAAAAAAAAAAAAAAAAGAAATTATAGTAGTTATATAGCCCCAGTGCTAGATCTTATTATTTGTAGCATTAATAAAGAAACACATGCATTAAGGTGTCACAGATTTTCTTTCAAAACATTTTTTTTCTTTTTTTTAAAGATTGGCACCTGAGCTAACATCTGTTGCCGTTCTTCTTTTGTTTTCTTCTTCTTCTCCCCAAAGTCCCCCAGTACATAGTTGTATATTCTAGTTGTAGGTGCTTCTGCTTGTGCTATGTAGGACATCGCCTCAGTGTGGCCTGATGAGCAGTACTAGGTCCGTGACCAGGATCCGAACTGGCAAAACCCTGGGCCACCAAAGCACAGTGCGCAAACTTAACCACTTAGCCACAAGGTCAGCCCCTAAAAGTTTTTGATAATTGTATTTCAATATAATATTAGGGTTTTTTTGCATGCCTATTATTTTATGCATTCAGAAACATTATTCTGAGAAGTGTCCATATGTTTCACCTATCAAGGGATTCATGGCATAAAAGAGGATTAAGAACCCCCTTCTAAGGAGGCACAATCCGTGCTCCTATCTAAAGCCAGTACGCACCTCTATTTGTGCACTAGATCCCATCTCCTCTCACCCACTGTGCCACGTGTACTCCTTTTGCCCCTCCAGATCTGTGCTCTGCTTTCTCCTCCTTGCTGTCGGCCCTGGAGCTGGTCTCTGTGGACAGCATCAACTAGGTTTCCTGTGTTCTGACTTCTGCTTGGGTTCAGACAATGGGAGGCACCAGCAGGACACAGAAGAGTGGGAGGAGGGAGAAGTTGGGTACTCATCCATAATTCCTCCCCACAGCTTTGGGCTGGCAGTAGCTTGGTTCCAGCTTTGATTGTGCAACCCTCTCCTGCAACCGAAGTTACCTCTCCGGATTCAGTAAACTGGTGGATTCTGAGTCACCATCTCTTGGGAGCTTCCCCTAAGTCAGCCCATACTTCCTTAGTAATTTCTTTGGTCTCCTTCTTTTGAGTGTGCCATCTGCTTCCTGCTAGGACCCTGACTACTACACAGACTCAAGGAAATGGCCTCAGCATCTCTCCCTTCTTTCAACCCAGTTCTCCTGACAGCTACCACTTCCTTGACAGCCAAACTCACTGTCTCCAGCCCTCTCCTCTAGATCACTCTCCAACACACTCTAATTGGACCTTTGCCTCCACATCACTGAAACTGCTCCGCAAGGTGACCAATGATCTTTGTGTTACTAAACCCAGTGACCACTCTCAGTGCTCATCTTCGTAGATCTACTGGCAGCATTTAACACAGTTGATCACTTTTCCTCTGTGATATATTTTCCATTTGGCTTCTAGGACTCCAAAGGATTTTCCTTCTAATTCACCCTTTGCTCCTTCTCAGTCATCTCTGCTGCTCTTCCTCTTCCAGGGTCAGTCTTTAGCTATTTTTTTTCCAGCTATATTTGTTCCATTAGTAATTTAAAAAGAAATGCTCTCTAATCTCTTTCTAAGATGTAGTTCACTAGTTTATCATGTATGTTAATTATTTTCTCTCTCCCTCAACCAGAACATAAGCTCCCAAGCCTAAGGATTTTTGTTTATTTGGTTCTTGGGTGTTTACCAAGTGTCTAGAACAGTGCCTGGCACATAAATTTTTGTTGAATTTAATTGGATGGTGACTATTGCCCTTCACATATACAGAATAACAACTGTGACTTTTTCCCTTTAAAAAAGCAAAGCCAGGTCCAGCCCCATGGCCTAGTGGTTAAGTTTGGTGTGCTCCACTTTGGCGACCTGGGTTCTGTTCCCCGGGCACAGACCCACACCACTTGTCACCAGCTGTGCTGCGGCGGCAACCCACATACAACACAGAGGAAGATTGGCACAGATGTTAGCTCAGGACAGATCTTCCTCAGCAAAAAAATATACAAATAAATAAAGCAAAGCCGTAAAATAAAAGGAATAAAAATCTAATCTTTTAGTAGGAATATTCATCCTAAACATAAAGGCAAGAAAAATGACCTCAGCAAAATCACTAAGTATGACAGCAAATAAAATTTAACCTTTAGTAAATTAAAAACATCATAAAAGTAAAAGGCAAACATCAAACTTAAAATTAAATTGCAACATATATGAAAGACATGGAATTATATACCTAATATACAATAATTTCTTACAAATCACTAAAAGATTATACAAGTAAAAAAAATGGGTGAAAGACCTATAAAAATAATCCACAAAAGAAATAAAACTGTCCAAAAAATATGTAAACCAACCATCGATCTCACTGCAAATTCAAACCACAGTGATATGTCTTTTTTGCTTATTAAAAAAGGGAATTCTGGGGCCCAGCACTGTGGCCGAGTAGTTAAAGTTCTGCATGGCCCACTTCAGCGGCCCAGGTTCATGTGTTCAGATCCTGGGTGTGGACCTACTCCACTCACCAGCCATGCTGTGGCAGTGTCACACATACAAAAAAAATAGAGGAAAACTGGCATAGATTTTAGCTCAGGGTGAATCTTCTTCAGCAAAAAAGAAGAAGAAGAAGAAGAAGAAAGAAATTCTATTTTAAATAATCTCTGATCCAATACTTCTCAATAATTCTACTTTTAGGACCTTATCCCAAATAATTAGAGAGCTGTACAAATGCATATGTTTAAGGATGTTTATTTAAGCAATAGTTATGAAAACAGCTTAAAATTCCCACAATAGAGACAGGCTTAAATAAAGTATAGAGCAATCATATCATGGAATATTTTACAGGTGTTCAAGATCACATTTTTGAAGAGTACTCAGTGATATGGGAAAATAATTAAGCTGTAAAGCTCAAGGTTAAAAAACCCAAAATATAAAACTGTACATAAAGCAGGATTCCAAAATTTCACATGCAAATACATATAGATATATATATACATATACTACAAGTCGAAAAATGACCGAAAGAAAAACACTTGCTGTTTTTATGCAGATGAATTATAAGAGATTTTATTTTTCTCATTTAAAGTTTACTGTATTTTCCAATTTTCCCCAAATTATCAGGTATGGTTTTCACATTTACAAAAATAATAAATAAATGTTAATAATAATACAAAACTGAGATCAAAGGGGTTCCAAAAGAGACAACCATAAACACTGAATGTCCTTTTTTTGTTTTATAAATGGGTAAATCTTCCAGCTAAAAAGCTTTTATTTCCCGTAGAAGTAGTGCTTGTATTTTTTCCTTGACTGGGTTTGGATGGGGGATCCACTGCCACGTACTTGATTTGGAAACCTCCTGCGGTCACCGAAGCATCGCTTAGAAACTTCAAAGTCATGACATTTCCTGGGGAAGAGAAGATTGCGGAAGAACAATGTTACTTTGCTTCAGTTTGGCTGACAATTCAAAGACTCATCCTTCTCAGAGGAGAATATCACAACTTGTGGGTAAGATCCCCAGAGTTCAGAGCAGGACTCTCAAGCAGAATCCAGCTAGAGTCTATAGATTCATTGCCAAGTGGAGCAGGGTGAGAGACTTTCCCATTTTTCCCTCTGGCCCTCTAATCTATCCTGTAGGAAATTTTGTCTATTCTGTTTTAAAAGGTGTTCACTGTAGAAGGGACATCCACGGAATTACAGAAGAATGGCAGGCAGTTCAACCCGTGAGGTATGGATGGATTATTTACTAAATGATGGCGGGGGCAGCAAGCTTTAACGTTTGTAAGAAACAAAGCCACAAAGTTAGATTCCTACTTTATACAGAGTACCTAACTACATTTTACCTGCATTAAAGACCAAAACATGTTAAAAATTTAAAGGAAAAGCCTTATTATATAAAATAAAATATAGGAATATTTTTCTTCTTTGGGAGAGAAAGGCCTTCTTAATCCAGATCACAAATCCGCAAGTAATTACTAAAAACCCCCTTATATATTGAATGCTAATGTGTATCAGGCACAGCTTTAAGTGTGTTTCATCTACAAACTCATTTATTCCCCTCAGCAACACTATGAGGTGGATACTATTAAAATATTTATTTTATAGATGAAATTGAGGCACAGAGAGCCTAAGTAGCTTGCCCAAGGCCACAGAGCTAAATTGGCAGAACCAGGTTTGAGCCTGGGCAGTCTGGCTCTAGAGTTCTTTCTCTGATCCACTACACTTTTCTCAGACTTGGATGAGTTGCCTAAATTTAAAAAAAAAAAAAAAAAAAATTTCTTTGCAGATTATTCAGCTGGTTAAAACACAAATTGGCACTGTAAGGCTAGTGCTATCTTGACTGCATCGATCAACATTTAAAAACGCACATCACTTGTGACTCCAAAATTTCACTTCTAGGAATCTACTTTAAAAAAAAATAGCACTACACAGTAGAGGTTTAAAAATGTCCTGTGAAACAGTGAATAGCAAAAGAAAACAAAATCAGAAGCAACCATCTTTAGGATGTTAAATATTGGTAGATGACAAATTATGGCACATCCACACAGTGACCTATTAGGCAGCCACTAAAAAGAATTAGAATGATCTATATATTGTGCTCTGATTTGGAAATATGTCCATGGTCTCCACATATATAACATTTGTAGAATACAGGAAAACATCCAGAAGGACGGTCACTACTCAGTTATCCAAAGCCTTTCTTGGGTGGGAAGAGATGAAAGTGGGCAATCTTACGTCGTATACCTTTTACTAAAGTGGTGCAATTATAGTTTTTAGTTTATTATTTTTTTCTGTTCTTGTTTCTTTTTCTTTTTCTTACTTTTTTTGAGGAAGATTAACCCTGTGCTAACTACTGTCAATCCTCCTCTTTTTGCTGAGGAAGACTGGTCCTGAGCTAACATCTGTGCCCATCTTCCTGCACGTTATACGTGGGACGCCTATCACAGCATGGCATTTGCCAAGCGGTGCCATGTCCGCACCTGGGATCCGAACCGCCGAAGCTGAACGTGAGCACTTAACTGCTGAGCCACGGGGCCGGCCCTCTTCTTGTTTCTTAATGTAAATATTCTGGGGTGAGTAAGCACATATTTCAGAAGAAAACTAGATCAAAATGTTAACAGCATTATGCTTGACTCATAGGCATGTACTTTAAATATATTTTATATCTTCTTTTTCTATTACTTTGTACCAATTTCCTCTTCCTGTTGTTTTGCTAAATCTTTGGCTTTTGTATTTAATTACGTTCTTTTCTGTTTGTCAATTTTTTTCTCTTTGGATAATAAATTGTGTGGGATTTTTTTTTTTTAAGTTTCTTGCAGTTGTGCAAGAAAAACACTGATTTGATTACGCTGGAGTAAGTTTTGTCTGTTTCAGACAAAACAAGAAAAATGTCCAAGCTTCAGGCTTCCTTTTGATTCTCCTTCTGTTTTTCTTTCTTTTAATAGGATTCTCATACCCCAGCTACCTCTTACACCTCACAAGATGCCTTTTTTAAACTTTCTGCTAACGTAAAATATGTTCTTAAGATAAGAACAAGAGATAAACAAAAGGTTTAATGGATTCTCCTTCCTAGGGTTATTGTAACAGAGTAATGAAATAATAACTTTTAAGCATTAATCACGCAAGGACTGACCCGGAAGTTCCTCTTGTAAGAATGAGCATAAATGAGAATTATGTGGGCTGCAAGGCTAGGCTGTGGGAGTAATTTAGCCAGTCAGATCTGAGTTTAAAGACTACTTAGAAATTGCAACTCAGTGTAGCTTTGTTGTTTTTAGATGCAGAAGCATTGTGATAATTTTATGGACGCAAAAAAACAGAGCAAGTAAGAATGCCAACTATTAGTGCTGGTGAATGAAACAGAAAAATGAAGACATCTAAGAAAGAACAGGTTCTTAAGCAGAAAATAGCAGTTTGGGGCAATTGCAGTGGTATTGCTTATGCAGATAAATTTAGGCTACTACAAGGATATTTCTCGAGGACTATTTCATGGAACAAAGTAACACAATTTGCGGGAGGAAGACGATTTGGAAAACATCGCCTATTATGGCTAGGCTTTTGAGATTTACTATGCATAATTAGCATATTAAAAGCTCCCTGACATCTTCCAGTAAAGAAATCTGTTTAACATCATTTAACCCAATGTTTCCCAAATTTACTTGACCTAGAGCCCTTTTCTCATGTAACACCTGTTAAAACCATCTCACAGAACTGTGTTCTTCACAACATCCTCTGGGGAATGTGGTACTAAGGTAAAAATTCGATAAAAGTGATGTAAAATTTTTCCAGTGACAGCAGGTATTTTTAACAACTTTATAAATTACTTCAATCATTTATCAACGAAAACTTTCATCTTTCATTACCACATTTTATGGAAATCATAAGCTACAGCAGTATTCATGGGTTTGCAAATTCAAGACTATCTCAGACTGGATTTTCTGCCAGCAACCAGAGTCTACACATTTTTAGCGCAAGGAGTTGGCATAAGTCGTTCTTTAAGTATAAATAAACACTTCTTGGCATTTCACAAGCCAGCAAGCTACATCAGTCCTCAGTTCTCTCAAATTTAAAAAGTAAATGGTAACTCCTGGATCCTTCACTTTCAGTGACACTGTAAGAAAACAAATCATAGTTTTCCTCAATTTAGAGCCATTACCTGTGCTAATGATGTCTTCTGGAAGCTCATCTCCACAGTATCTGAAAGGGAAGTTTTAAAACGAGAGATCACATGAATGAATATTATACAGCTATTTCAAGTTGTTCTCACTGATAATTAAAGTGCTTTATTTCCCCTGAGTAATGGCTCATTTTCCTATTATTTTGCAATGTTTTATTGTATGATTTTTTTCACTTGAATTTGTAAGGGAAAAGAAGGGTTAAAACATTGTTTGAAATAACCTTCTCACAGTATTAACGAGTTTCTTAAGAAAGGACATGTGGCATCTCTACTCTGTAGAAATGTGGGAAACTGTGTAGTAGACAATTTGAATGTATTTGGAAAAATTAATCTGATTAATTTCATAACATTTCCTTCACAGGTAAAGAAGAATGGGTGTATGGTTGGTGGTGTTAATATTTTGAATTCTAGAGTGGACTGATTTAAAAGTGGAGAAATTATGTTGGACCTTAAAAGAGGATTTGATTTTTATCTGAATCATGACTTGAATGCCCTGGCACATTATATAAAAGGAAAGAGTTTATCTGTTTCCAAAAATGTAATTTATTCCAGAGGAGGGAAAGTCTATTGTAAAGGTAAATCACAAAATATAAATCCATTCAATCACAAATTAGCATGTTGAAAACCTTTTAAAAAATAGTTTATGTTTTATCTAGGGCTGTAATTGATTTCTGAAATGGTTTAGAATAAAAATGTCATCTTAATTCCCAAGGTAGGAGGTTTATTCTTTCAAAAAAGGCTTTGTTTTTAATTTCTCTAACCCTTCTTCATGTCTTCTTCAAACTATTTTTGAAAACTATTTGTATTTTTTTCTATAGCAGTAGTCTCAGCCAAAAAACAAAACAAAACAAAACAAAAAATACTTGTCCTCGAAAAATTGTTTGTTTGTGCAAGAAATGCCTTTGTTTTTCTTTGTATTTAAGTTACTCATTTCAAAGTCAACACAACAAGCTATTGAATCTGTTCTTTTTAATTGCCCCCCTTCCATTTTCTTTCATTAAATTACTATCATGGATAATAGAGAATTGATAACTAATAGTCTATTGATAATGGATAATCTAAAATATACATTATTAGGTGGGGACCTGAATACATAGAACACTTAATTATATGCTCTTTAATTTGTGATATTTTATAAGGCTCTCAAAATTTAAACTATATTAAAGATTGATAAATAAATGAAAAGCAACAGTATATCTTGGAGTATGTGAGGAAGCCATTTGGTTTCAAACTAATTCGGCCTGACCTTGTTTTTCCAGAAGGGCCTGACGTGGCCTGTTGAGCATGCATTGTACATCTGCTTTAAACATTTACAATGTCCCAAAGACAAGAATGATGCCCTTAAACGTAGGGATGTAGCTTCCCCCCACAATAGCAGTTCTTTAAGGATAAGCATCTCTTCCTGGACACTAAGTATTAATTACTGACCTGCTGTGCTCCCCTTGTGACCACTGACCTGCTGACAACCAACCTGCTCTGCCCGTTAAACATCTCACAACAGTAGTAAAAGAGATATTCCTGTTGTGTGTGATGTATACTCTTTGTTCCAAGATGGTATATAGCCACGCTGTACACCCTACTTCTTTGGTGCCCTTTCTTCCTTGCAGAAGGAAGGCCCTGAGCTATAGTCCTCAGACCTGGCTCATAATAAACTCACCCCAATTTTGATTTACAGATTGATTATGGATTATTTGTGTGGACAAGATTTAGAGTGGGAACGCAAAAATATTGTGTCAAAGCACGTTGAAAAACCAAGAGAGAAATGTTGAGGACAAGAGCACTTGTTTTTTATGGAAAAGAAAGCTATTTTTAAGAAGATATCCATTGTAGGTTTTGCTAAATTGTCTGAGAGAAGGAGTTATACTTTGCTTATTTACCTTACATCCATAATGCCTAGCACAATGCTTTATATGCAGAAGAGAGGCAACAATTACTGAATTTATAATAATTATTATTTTTATTTTTACTTTTTTGGTGAGGAAGATTGGCCCTGAGCTAACATCTATTGCTGATCTTCCTCTTTTTGCTTGAGGAAAATTGTCCTCTTTTGTATGTGAGATGCTGCCACAGCATGGCTTGATAAGCAATGTGGAGGTCTGTGTCTCAGATCTAGACCTGTGAACCCCGGGCCACCGAAGTGGAGCATGCAAACTTAATCACTATGGCACTGGGCCAGCCCTTGAATTTATAATTATTTTTAGGGGGTTGACAGAAATTAGAACACTCAAAAACTCCAACCAATTTCCCTATTCACATATCTCTTCTCCCTCATAATGTTAGTCAAATCTTGAGGTCTTTATAGACTATTTAACTAATTGTTACAACTTAATAATCAAAAGGCAGCTATCACTATTTTAGTAATAAATACGTACATGTAGCAGCTGACTGTGATTTAATATTCTAAGAAAAAATCTTTCTTAAGAAAGAATATAGTGTTGCTGGAGAGTAGAAATACTGGAAAACCAATATTGTAGGGACAGTTGGGGGAAAATGAAAGATACATCAAACAAAATATTGGATGTTCATTTAACTTCCTATGTGGAGAAACAACACATACCTTCCCACAAAGCCATGGACATCATCATAACTGTCATATATTTCAACATAGTCAGCCAAGCAACCTGTATCGTCTTCAAGATCAAAGTCCAGAAAACTCAGGTGAATACGCTGACCATACTTGAGTCTGATGTGCCAGTAGCAGACTTGGTTATCATCATATTCATTTGGGAAGCCTGGAGATTTAAAAATTCTCTTTGTATCTGTAAAGATGCCACCGCATTCCTTTGCTAAAAGGAAAAAAAGAGAAGGAAGCATTAGAAAGAAATTATTCCTACTTTAAAATGATATTCATGTCTTAGTGTCCATCTGTTCATTATTTTTTATGAAATAGTAAAGAAATGGCTTCATATGCAGCATCTATAATATATCATGTATACTTGTAGCTAAGGAATAAATTTTTTTATTAATAGTTGCTAAATTCTCTAAAATGAACATAGACTATTTTTGAATTTTTTAAAAAGTAAAATAGCAAGAAAAAATACTAATTAAATTGATTGTGCTCTTGTTTACATTTTTTGCTTCTTTTTATATTTTAAGCATAGAATGCACAAGTCTTATGTGTGTTTCACCAATATAAATACCCATTGTAGAGGAGGGGAAAATTCCTCCCTTTTCCCATATGGTTCTTCTGTCTGGTCAAATATTTAAAATAACATAGGGCAAGTCAACAGGAGAAGATCAAACAAAATTTCATACGTGCACATGGGGAATTCACATAAGCGTGAAGAATTCCAAAGACAGGCAAAATGAAGTATATATGTCATTCTGGACTAAGGAGAAGGGGACAGACGTCTGGGCATTCAAAGGGAAAGGAGGCAATTTATAGGAAGATGAAAGAGTTAATGCTTGGTAAACATATGTTTGCCATGCCTTGCAAAGACAATGAGAGATGGAGATGACTTTGATCAAATAAGCCTTGCTAGATTTCTCCCTGCCTCCCACACCTAGTTCATATTGTACCATAGTTATCTCTGGTGATAGATCCTTCCTGGAACAGGCTTTCTATCTTAAATTCCTTTAGGCAGTTAGTGGGAAGGTCAAAGTTTCTTCCTGAGATTTTTCTTCTTAAAAGCAATCAGTCTCAAATAATTAATCCTCAAGCCAAAGAGAAAATTTAGAGTGGCAAATTCTGTTCCCCTACACTGTATTACCAACAGTCCAATCAAGATGGCATGGATTTTGTCCTGTGGTGTCACACTGTGTCTTTGGGAACTCAATGAGTCCAATATATTTTGTTTGGAAAATAATTATAGAATTTTGGGATCACAAGGGACTTTGAGAGTCACTAATCCAGTTAAAAGGAATAGTTTATAATAATTCTTTATCTCTTTTACTGGTCCTAAATTAGCACCTTAATCCTAATATTTGAGGATTTGGCAGGTATATTTATGTTGTTTTCTTTTCAAGTCATTTATCATTTCATAGATTTCTGCCATGTACTATAACTTGTTATAAGGACAAGCAATCAACCTCTGCCAGAATCAGTGATTCTACAGAATGACCTAGAGGGAAAGCTATGGAGAGGCCCTAATTAATTTTAATTCCACAACAAATAAATGTCTGGTGTCTTGAAAACAGTAACAACCTGGGATCTCAAAAATAATATGAGCAGTGGTGATGGTGGTGACTCTGGGTAGCATTAAAAGATATTTTTCATTAAATCAATGAGGCTTTTTACATGAATATTCTGCTTTATAATAACTATTTTTAAAAATTGCCTTATTGCCATAGAAGTTAAGGAAGCTTATCTCCCCAAGGCAGAACAGGATCTTAGAAAGGCTGGGGAGTGACAAAAGGTCAGGGATCTAGTCTGAGCTCTGTGACATCTAGACCTCAGTTTCTTCATTGGTAATGTAGGGGAGCAGAATTTGCTACCCAGAATATGTCTCCTTGGCATATGGATTATTTTAGGCCAGTTAGTTTTTAAGAAACAGCAGACATGAGAGGAGCTCTGAAAACCAGACAGAAGTTACGCTTTGTAAAATACATTCATATTTGTAAGGGAAATCTCCATTTTTAAGGATGTCTTCTTTGCTCTACCAGGAAGAGGAGGATATCTAAATTTCTAGAAATGTATCAGTTAAGATCATAAAACTGAACTGGGAAAAAATTTACAGAACTCTAAGGAAAAACTGGCTTCATAAAACCACTAATGAAAGATCAAGATCAATATGAGCTAATTACATGGGACCATGATTATATGACTGATTATGATTTATAATTTTTATGAGTTTTTATTTGAAATGTTAGTGGTTCTTTAATCTTTGTTTTCCAGATTTAAGGAAGCGTTTTTTGCTTAAGCTATTTTTGCTTTGACTGAGAGCAATTTGGTAAAATATATACTTTTGTGAACAAAGGTGAAAAATTTTTTCCCTGTATAATCCCTTCAGAATTTGCAAACTCTTAGTGAGTGAGTATTCTTATTTGCATGGTAATATAATTATTTACATAAGTTCAATAAGAATCTTTTCTCCTTGTAACGGGACACAATTGGAAACTGGTTATGTCACCAAGGTTTTGACTGGAATATCATATTTGAGAGAGACATGCATAGACTCAGATATGACCTAATAGCTTTCAGGTACTAAGATTGATTTTATGGAGCCAATAAAGCCCCTTGAAAAAACAACTGGCTGTTTGCTTACAGGGTTTCCAACAGCCTTACCAGGTGAGTAAGGAGGGTCACTTCCTAGCAGGTGTAGAAATCTCAGGATATTTTGGGGGACCTCAAGAAGAGAGGAACTTGCCCAAATCTACAGATATGTAGGCAGAGTCTGATGGCAACTCCTTGGCATGGCTTCTTAGCCTCAAGAGGCTAGTAAAAGTTCCATCTGGGGCCGGCTCTGTGGCCAAGTGGTTAAGTTTGTGCGCTCCACTGAGCCGGCCCAGTGTTTGGATCCTGGGCATGGACATGGCACCATTCATCAGGCCACGTTGAGGCGGCGTCCCACATACCACAACTAGAAGGACCGGCAACTAAGATATACAACTCTGTACAGGGGGGGTTTGGGGAGATAAAGTAGAAAAAAAAACAAAAACCAAAGATTGGCAACAGTTGTTAGCCCAGGCGCCAATCTTTAGGGGGGAAAAAAAGTTCCCTCTGGAGATTCCTTATGAAAAGTTCCAGCAAAGCAGATTTAAAAGAGTCTATATGATCAATTGCCATTCTTGCTGCACTTATGTAAATAATCCGGCCAAGTTTACTGAAACTAAACTTATTTTGCAACAAATTAGTCTTGATTTGTGCAACAAATTAGTCTTGATTTGTCTATTTTTTGTAAAATTAAGGGTGATTTTAGAGAGAAAAATTAGTTTCAGTAGAAAATATAATACACTTATGGATATTAGATTCTGGAGCTGTTCATTTGCCTTTTGAGGTTTTGTTTTTCACTTGTATGCTGGGCTGGATCCTGAATTCTTCTAGTTTTCTCAAATATTTGGCTACAACTCTACACACTAATGTTTCCAATTTTCTCCCATGTTTGACTTGGAATCCTTGAGAACCAAACTTGCCCTTTCTCCTAAAGTCCTGCAAGCTGAATGTAAATGACGTGATATAGACTTAGGAGAGGTCACCACAATAATCCATATTTGAACAATCTGTGTGCCTGATGCTATGAAAGCCACTTAGAGAATTTGCCTGCATGCTCAATGACATCATCAGAGATATTTCAAACTGCAAAAGATGCTTTGACTCTGATATCTAGTAGTGTTCTCAAATGGCTAGACTCAGAACTCAGAAACTGGTTTATAATTTGCTCAATCATTAACCTTTGTTTTTATTTTATTCCCATGGAAATGTCTCATTAAATATCTGGTTTCTCTCACAGTATGGATCTAACTTTGGGAGTCCAGCTGCCTCACCACCTCCTAAAATGAGACACAACTGTTTAACTGAACTGACCTATTCTCAGGACTGAGTGACTGGTTCAATGAGATATGGAGCAATGCATCAACTTAGCTTCTGGACTGTCAAACTTCCTGGGGAAGTTTCAGAGGCGGGACTGTAGGTGAGCAGAATTTGCCACCCAAAACATATCTCTTTGGCATAAGGATTATTTTAGGCTGGTTATTTTTTAAGAAATAGCAGGCATGGGAGTAGCTCTGAAAACCAAATAGAAGTTACCCTTTGTAAAGACATTTGTAAAGGAAATCTCCATTTGTAAGGGTGTCTCTCTAGCTGAACCAGAAAGAGGAGGCTATCTGAATTTCTAGAAACTCTTATCAATAGAGAAAGCAACAACTTAAATCTGCGTAGCCACCTTATCCTTGTTTACCGTGCTTTTCCTGGTAATCTCCCATAACTGACACTCCCAACTCCCAACAGCCTCTTTTATCTTTAGTTGAAATGGTGTTTAAGGTGAGAGCTTTGGTCATTTGGGTGAGTTACTCAGTTTTCCTGGGTCTCTCCTGTGTATACATGTTATTAAATTTGGTTTTTCTCCTGTAAGTCTCTCTCGGGTCAATTTAATTCTTAGGCAATCTAGATGAACCTAGAAGAGTAGAGGAAAATTTCTTCCTCCCCTACAGTAAAATAAATATAATCACGCCTCTCCTATTCCCTCCCTCACAGAATTATTCTTAAGATAAAATATAGAGGATAACTTAAGGATATTATGCAAAATGTAAGCTTATTTTATTATTGTATATTGTATCTTATTGCATTATTAAATATTATATAATACATAATTTATATGTGTACATAAGCATGTACAGTGCCAGCTTTTGGAGTGACTTGCTGTGTCCCATAGCATCCTATCTTTGTTGTATGTATCATTAGATTAGGAAAAAAATTCAAATTTTGAACTATTTTGGTAATCTAGCTATATCTATTCAGCTCTAGATTTTATGTTACGTATAGTTATTGCCTCATCTCTTGCTTATTTAGAAAATGACAGATTCTCAACGCTGGCTGGGTCCCTGTGGACTGTTAATTGATTAAAAAGTATTTATATAAAAGGCAGTCAACATCATGTCACACATTTAGAACTTGATAAACAAGTTTAGTTCTAAACTATTCTTTCTTTTTTTTTTTTCCCAAAGATTTTATTTTTTTCCTTTTTCTCCCCAAAGCCCCCTGGTACATAGTTGTGTATTCTTCGTTGTTGGTCCTTCTAGTTGTGGCATGTGGGACGCTGCCTCAGCGTGGTTTGATGAGCAGTGCCATGTCCGCGCCCAGGATTCGAACCAATGAAACACTGGGCTGCCTGCAGAGGAGCGTGCAAACTTAACCACTCGGCCACGGGGCCAGCCCCTAAACTATTCTTTCTTAATTCAATCAACTCTAACATGGTGACCTTGATTAATGAATAATCATTGCTTAACTTTTCTGATACTGGTATGATTTTTTCATTCCAATAGTTTTTCAATAAACTCCCAATGCTAGTTCGGCAGTCCCCAGTCCTGTTCAGGTTAACCACATCCTCAACAAGCGACATGTCATTGCATCTAAGAGCAAGCTGAGAATTGAGTAAGAACATGCTTCCCGGGATTCCGTACACGTATTGCCAGAGTAAAATGTATCTGAACTCTACAAGAAACAAAAGCAGCTTATAAAAATTTGTGTTATGGTGGCATTCTTATAAAAGGCAATAAAATAATGTAAGAACGTTTACAATAGTACATCTAGGGGAGTACTTCATCTCCCCTAGACTCCCCTATGCAAATGAACAGATGCTCAGAGATCATAAGGTTTACCAAGCAAATGAAGAATCAGAGAATATATTTGGAAATAAAAGTTATTCTTGAGAGTAAAAAGAGAGGTGCCTGAATAAATATGTTGAAGAAAAGGCAGAGAGGGAGGAAAATAAAATATATGACTAAACAATGACTAAATATAGGACTAAATAGATTATAGTATAGGCTTAAAGTATGTCAAAGTGGTTTGAAAGTTATAGTCTTATATAAATGCAATAAGTATTTTTTTCTCAAGTGAGAATAAGTGATAGGTCTAGGAAAAATTCTTTTCTAGTTGAAATACACATTATTTTGAGATATATGTTACAAACATGAGAAACTGTTCTCCAGTGGTTAAATCATTAAATAACAAATTCTATAATAGTATGCTAGAACTTCACTATAACACTTCTATTGTGTTATGGACTTCCTTATAAGGTAGATCCAAATGGGACACCACCTGAGAATGTTTATGATCATAAATGTGGGAGAGACTTTGTAACACTTTTTAATATTCTGGGGAAATACATCCAAAAAGAACAGTCTATTTTTTCTCCAAGAACATGAACAAAGAATAACTCTTTATAATAATTATAATGAGTTAATTTTCTGTTTAATGTTTTCCTAGCTACAGTGAACCCCGGAAAAAGAATATGAATAAAAATATACTATGTAATAACTAGTATATCCAGTATATAATTGTTAAGCCACAGAGAGAGTTGTTTAGTTTGGAAGTTTAAGAATTTATGCGCAATAAGAAATTAGGGCAAGAGTTAGTTTATTCTGTCTCCTTTTCCCCATTCTATCAAAGGGATAATTTTGAACAGTTAACATTTGGTAGTATCAGTTTATTGTTTTAGCTACTTAACTGTGACAAGTTTATAACCTGCTTTTTTCCCCTTTGTGGTCGGGAAGTTCCGCGGCGCAGAACAGACCTGAATTCACAATCCTACCTGGCTACTAATTATTGGCTGTCTGATTTTGGGTAAGTTACTTGAGCTCTTAAACTTTTAGTTTCTTAATTTCTAAGATAAGTATAACAATAGCTCCTTGCAGAGTTGTTGTGAATATTAAGTGACTGTAGATGAAGGAACGTCAGTCAGTGCCTGGTAGAGCATAATGACTCTGTGAATGGTAGTTATTAATATTATCATTACTAAATTGATTTGTCTCTGGAAGAAGAAGCTATTTCTCTTTAACAACTTCTTAGTAACATGTGACTGTTTTTGCAAAGTATAAAATTATTATTTTTAACAAACCATGTGGGTTGTAGCAGTAGGCATCCCATCTTTCACTCCTGTTGAGACGGATTCCGTAATCAATAATACCAGTTTTTCCAAATCCACAGTTGGGCCCTGGCTTCACAATGGGGTATCCAACTCTACCCTTGGCCATCCACCCAGCAGCACAGACGTGAAATCCTGCAAGAGAATAAAAGGGTTATGGGCTTAACTGGTAAGCTCCCTCAGCCGAACAAAGTTCATCTTAACAATGATGGACCCTTCCAACAGTGACAGTTTCTTGACTGCCCATATCCAGTTCATGCAAAAGGGAAAAAACTGTTTTCTTAAAAATAAAATAAAGTTTGAACACATATTGAATCTGACATCTGACTTTTACTAGAAAACGACATCTTACTTGAAAAAAAAAAGATGCAGACAGACTAGAAATCTTAATGCCATGGATATGAAAACAATCCAAGTTCAGATCTAGCTTCTTTTTGCAAATGACCTATCTAGTGCCATGAGATAATTCCTAAAATTACTATGAATCCTGAGAGAAGAATTCAAATGATAATTTAATTCATTTCTATTTCAGGATCAATTAAGATGTTGCTAATATTTTTAAAAATTTGATTAGGGACAAAAGCACTTAGAAATTTCAAACAAAGTGTCAGCCCTGTTTTCCTTGCTCAATTTTGGAGGCTGTTTTAATATTTGCTGATGTTATTCAAGAATGATTTTACTAGAAGTCCAAGATGGCCGCTAATGGCTCTGGCCATTGTATCTGTCATTCCAGTTACTGCATCACCTCAGCTTATAGACTGCGCAGTCATCTGGGGAGACTTTGGTGCATTTCAGAGAACACTCTTATTTTTATCTCGGGTAATATATACAATAATTTGCCAAGTATTTTCTTATCAGCAAAGGGGTATCTTCAATGAGGAAGAACCTTCCAAATGAAGATGGCCTTTTGGATTCTCCTGAAAGTCCAGGAGAGAGCAAATAGCACTAGTTAGTTGCTAGGTTTTTCACCAGGTCTCCTGACATCATCTTCCCAGTTTCTTTCCCCTGCTGTCTTACAACTTGCTTACCCTCCTTTTCCTCATAGTTTTTTTTTTTCTTTTTCTCCCCCAATCCCCCCGTACATAGTGGTAGATTTTTCAACTGTGGGTCCTTCTAGTTGTGGCATGTGGGATGCAGCCTCAGCATGGCCTGATGAGCAGTGCCATGTCCGTGCCCAGGATTCAAACCTGTGAAACCCTGGGCCAGCGAAGCTGAGCACTCGAACTTAACCACTCGCCCCGGGCTGCCCCTCCTCATAGCTTTTGATCCTAGAGTACAAATATGTTCTCTCACTAAATGTGAAAAAAGAAATAATTGGAAAAATGCCGCTAAATTCAGTATTTCTCCTACCAAGTAAAATTTTCCTGTAAGAGTCAACATAGTAAGATCATTTAACAGCTGAGAAAACCCATACCCAGAAGTTAAGAAGAGATAGAACAATATTAAAAATGAATAGCAGTGGTATTAAAATTAATGAGGAATTTAAATGATGTCTTCATTTTCTTTTGACTTTTATTTATTAGCTCACAATGGGTTGTGACTCCAAATAATTTGCTAGTCCTAGGAACTTTCCACCATCTCCAGGCAGAGAAAATGGGATAAGCTGGAGGGCAGAGAGGTCATAAAGACTCATAGAACTATGAGTAGGGGTAGAGAGAGAAGTCCTATTAAGGGGTTACAGGAAAGGTGGAATTGTTTTCCCCCAAAGGTGAAAAAGAAAAAAAATCATTGTCAAATCAGTTACCAATTTTTCTGGCTGCTTCTAGCTGCTTATAGGTGGCGAGATGGCCACCTTCGTATTCACACACCGCCTTCGCTTCTGCGTAGGTGAGCTTGTATTTTCCAGACCGTGCTTCTCTGTGGTATACTCCTGCTGCTTGTTCTGTGAATTCACAAAATGTCATAAATGCACTATTATCCATTTTTGTGGAATAAGGGAAATTTTGTGGCCTCAGCTGGAAGATTGCATCAGCTAGTGTTCCTGCCAAAGGGTTCCCTGGGTCAGCTGCCTTGGGTGGCTAAGTTTTCATTGTTAGAAAACTTTGGAGAAAAATATGAATGAGGGAAATTTTAGGGGAATTTGGGGGAATAGGCAGAAACTTGAGGCTAAATTATGTTTCTGAACTGATAGCCTGAAAGTTTTAATACAACATTGTATTTCTACACTGTCCAAAGATGACTAAGTTTTGACCTTTTTTGGGTTTTAAGTCACATAAAAACTTGGAAAGGTAAGCAATAGGAGAAAAAGGAGGTGAAGCAAAAGAAAGCCAATGAAAATTGATCCGTTATGTAGGATCACATGGTGGAAAAAAATAACCCAAAATATCCACGAGGGAAGTGACTAAAGCAATGTGTTTGAGAATTTAGTAAACAAATCAAAAACTGAGGAAAAGTTTGAAGGAATCCAAGCAAACAAATATTGCATTAAAGAAAAGAAAAATAGATTCAAACACAGTAGAGAAAAAACTTGGGCACACCTAACTACGAGTTTCTAATTTCTTTGTCTGTTTTGTCTTTTTTAGTTCACGTATTTGAGGTAGTGTTAAGTCATACATGAGTTGTCTCCGAACAGATGACTGTTTAAGTGGAGTGTTTTGAGTTTGGAGTGCATATTGCCATGGAAACAATGTGATAAGATTCCCAGAGCTATAATTATAACATAGTTCTAATAGTTCTATGTAGATTGTCAGATCGCGGTTAAGCCTTTGTACCCTGACCTGTGCAATCTACCACCATCAAGACCATTTCAATGAGAACACATATTCCTTGGCATGCAGCAAGACATGAATCCAGCAGTATTAGAAATATCCTTCCTGGGGCTGGGCCGGGGGCGCAGTGGTTAAGTTAGCATGTTCTGCTTCTCAGCAGCCTGGGGTTCGCTGGTTCCGATCCCAGGTGCGGACATGCCACAGCTTGGCACACCATGCTGTGGTAGGTGTCCCACATATAAAGTAGAGGAAGATGGGCACAGATGTTAGCTCAGGGCCAGGCTTCCTCAGCAAAAAGAGGAGGACTGGCAGTAGTTAGCTCAGGGCTAATCTTCCTCAAAAAAAAAGAAAAGAAAGAAATACCATTCCTTGCTCTTCTCCCCAAGCTGAAGTTGACTCTGCCACAGCTCAATAGGAGATGTTGCTTGGCATTTTCTCTCTTTTTCTGAACTCCAAGGGGTCCTACTCTTACACATTATATGGTAAGAAGGCCTATCACTTATACATTGAGGCCCTTAGTCAATTTGATTCTTCCAGGTGAGAGAACACAAGGAACATCAAAGTCGTTTTCCCCTTTGAAAGTCACCTGCTGCCCAAGTGTCCTGCATATGGTAAAGCTTCATTAACTAAACTCCAACTAGTTTCTAATTTGATTGTTTTGTGGCTATACCATGAGGTACTTTTCTTGGTGCTGTGGATCCAGTCCTGTTCTCCAGCAATTGGACACTAGTGGGCAATGTAAGTACCTCTATTTTGAAGCACAGGAGGACTAAGGCTTTTAGGAGAGAAGGGAGACATGTTCAACTTACGTATATTTTGTAAAAGAGATTCTTGTTAAAAACACGAAAACAGGCCACAAATGGAGTCGCTCATGCTAAGCCCCACCAAGCCGAGACTTAATGTAATTACAGCCTTGACTGTCCCAGAAATGGAATCTTGAACCAGTCAGTAGAAATCATCTGATCAGCACTAGTTAGGTAATCAGCCTGAGAGATCCCTGCCACCCTCTGAAGGAAAGTAACCATGCAATAACCAACCCACTTTTTCGTCTAGGATACCTTCCTTGTTCCTGCTTCCTTCCGCCTATGAAAGTCTTTCCTTTCGTACAGTTCCTCCAAGCTCCTTTCTATCTGCTAGATTGGATGCTGCCTGATTTGAATTAGTTTTTGCTCAAATAAACTCTTAAAACTTTTTACTATGCCTCAGCTTATCTTTTAACAAATATTTGCAGGAATAAAATAAATTAAGATACAAATTTTTAAAAAATAATTTTGTTTTCTTCCCAGTAATTTTTCTTAAACTCTTTGTACCTGTGGAAACTTTAGTAATAAGATAGTAACTTAAATAGCAGAAATGTCTATGCTATAATTTTTAATTTATTAAATAATATTAACATTCCACATTGTTCCTGAAAGAGCACCTAACTTCCCAGTATCTTGCCTTATGAACAAGTTGAGAACTCTTGGCATATGTACTAAAGTATTCCTCAACTCAGAATTTTAAACTACTAAAGTGGTCTGTTAGACAATGCTTTATTTTTAAAAGCTTTGCCATCCAGAAGAAATAATATTCATTTTTCTAGTTAATAGCCATTCACTGAAACTGAAAATCTATTTAACCGATCTTTCTTTCCCCTTTTAGCAAGTGGTGACAGTAGCGTGATGGCTGTCGTTTCTACTCCTGGTTCTACTGTGGACGAGTTGTGTGACCTTGCATAAATTACTGCCTGAGTCTTAGTTTCCTCATCTATCAAATAGGAATAATAATAACTCTTTTTGGAATAAATAAGTCATTAACACCTGTAAGCATAGCTTTTGGATCCAAGTAGGAGCTCACAATCATGTGACTTTTCCCTTTTCTCTTTTTCAGATTCAGTACAATGGCTAAAAAGAATTGCTTGTCTGTGCATCTTTAATTTTCATCGTCAATGTAAACTAGTTGAAATCTCTTGTCCTTAAGTGCATTTTTTAAAAAAATTACTATTTAAGGAATTAGAGGATCCCAGAGTTAAAAACAAACCTTAGGGGTCCCCTCCAACCTTCTCATTTTACTGGTGTGAAACTGAGACAAGAGTTTAAAGTGCTTGTTCTTGACAGTTGCTAGCAGATTCCTGCCTTCTCATCCAACTCTCCTTCCTTCCTAAATAGTTTCTAATACTATATGGACTTAACCAACTGTAAACAATTTGTGCTGGGCTGACTGGTCAATAATTTGTCCCAGATTGTAGCTCTTTGCAATTACCCCAGGCCTCAGATTTGCAGCATACTATTAACAAACATTTGGGTTTGCTCCTCTCTACCTCTAGGACAGAACTTCTATTGTCCAGGTTTATATTTTGTAATATTCAACCTTACTTCAACAACAATACCTCCAAATTACTTGATCATTCGAGCGTTTCCAAGTTTATCCATATGGGTTTAATTCTTACTAGCTTTATGATGATTTTTTCATTTCTGACAAATAGGTGTATTTTTCCTAAGTTTGATAGTGTGCAATGAAAATAAACAAAGAGACTTGCTTATTCCTCTAGTAGATCCCAGACCCCATCTTGGCCAAATGGATCTCGCTGTTCAGCATGAAACTAGTTCACTGGCTCAAGTTGAAAAAAGAGGCAGCAAGGCTGTGCATTGCAAATCCAGCTTTTTAATGAAATCCGCGTGGCTGCAGTTATGACTAGAGAGAAATATGCTGAAAGAGAAAATATTCTACAACTGTGTGCTGCTTGGCAAGCATAAAACCAAGATCTAGGTTAATTTTGCTTTCTCTTTGTTTTATACAACAATCTGTCAATTTTCTTCTCCAGCAATAGTGAAAACTTTTTCACTATCAAACACAAGAACGGACATAAAGCAATATTAATCTGTATCATGACAATTAAAGCATCGTTTACTATACGGGGTATTTTGGGTTTTCTGTACTTGCCTTTTTTCGTCTATTGTTTATATTCACTGTTAGGCCTATGTCATTCCTTACATCTAACAAAACAAAATGACAAAAGAAACTTTCCTTGTCTAACAAAAGGGGTAGAAAAGTATTTATACGGATGGCTCGAACAAAAGGAATCAAAGTGGTAAGAATGCATTCAGAAATATAAGCCTTTCTCATTTTTTTCTGTATTACAAGCTGGTTTTGTCAAACTAGTCAAAGGATGTTTGGAAAAAGCAAGATAATATGCTACAGGTCAGGGTACATGGAGCAATGATTATAAAATTATTGTATATTCCAACTTACCTGTTGTGATTCTGTTATGATTACCTGTTATGAAATCTGACTGCAAGTGCATTAGAATAAAAACAAAGTAATATATTGGTGTTTTTATTTTGCTAAAGAAACACTCCCCACTATACCACATCTGCTTTGAAAACTTTAAAATATATTTTCATACGGAATATAAATATTAACCTCTATTTTCTACAGAACAGTTCACTTTATAAAAAGCTATTTTCCAATTTTAGAAGTCAGGAACACTTTTTAGAAAGTGGAATATACATTCCAATAGCTATCTTTCCTAAGCACGTTTTTTTTAAAACGTCAGCCTGGAACAGAACAGAAAAATTTATTGCTTTGATGCACTTCTCCACGAATTTAAAGAAATGGCATTCCCCACAAGAAGCTCAGGAGTGAAGTTTCTTACCAAGCCATATGGAGTTATGAAAAATTCCATTCTTGAATCCCCATCCGTGAGCCTCTTCCCACAGCAAGACAAGTACGTAAATTAAGATGATCATAGCTCAGTTGTAGAGAAGTAACAGCCTGTTAGGGGCTGCTCAGGATAAATTCTCAGAGCAGAGGCTGAAATGTGACTGAAACATCTGGTTTCCACATCTTTTAAATGGTTTTTTTCAACTGTGAGGTCAGCAAGTACTCTCCAATGGCATTTTCCGCTGTGGAGTTACACAATTAACTCAGTGTCTGGAGCAAAGCCTCTGACTCATTTGCATTGGCACCCAAGACTAAGGATATAGAATGACCATCTACATTCTAAACTTCACTTATTTGGAACAGAGTTCGTTTATTCTGTCTGTCACAGACACTTTTCTATTAGGAAGTTCGTGTAACTTGGTGCAGATTCAGCCCCAATTTTTTTTTAGAAAAAGCTTCAGTAGGAATTTTTAGAGAAACCGCTGAATGTTTTATTTTCAGAAAGTCAATTAAGGAGTATGGGGTTTAGGGTTAAGCATTAATCTTGAACTTGACCCTGGTAATGTTACTTTAGTTTTCCCTAAAACTTGCCAAGCTTGTATAGAGAATTTAAAGCAAAACGTGTGCACAGTTTGCCAAAATCCTAAACTGTCTCCAGTGATGTAGGATTTCTTTACCCTCTGTCTGCTTTTGTCCTTCGGTGGAGTCTGTTGGCAGTCTTTGGCTTATTGTGGTTAGCAGGTAAATACGTTAGCTCCCAGAAAAGGAGTTCAGTTTCAGAGCCTTAGGACATTCCAGCAGGTTTGGGATATCTTATTATAACACAAATGTCCCCAGGCCACAAATCCTTGAGGTTTTGGGACAAAGGTGGATGGGTAGTCACAAAGTTAATAAAAATATGGCCCTGGCATCCCCAAATGGCTCTAATTTTAAAGATAATCAAAATAATAGGTAATAATTATCATAGTAAGGTTTCCACGTCTTAAAATATCCCAAACTTTCCTCTCCTTTTGTGTAGGGTCCTTGGGTAACATGTCTGGTAATATCCGTAGTGCTCTGATGCTAGTGACCTTTCCTGATGATTGGCAGCCATCTTTTGGCAGCTTTTGCTTCTCTTCTTTTATAGGTCATTCTTTGCTACTTAGCGTCTCTACTCTTGCTGCCAAACTGCTTTCCATTTGCTTCCATTATGTTCATTTTTCTCATGTTTTCTTAGTCCCTCCAGTGATATTGGAATCCGTTGAAAAAGCCAGCTTTTTGGACATGCTCTGGTCTGAAGTCAGCCTTAAATCCCTTAGGCATCTTTGCACTGGTCATCGAAGGCTTGCCCTGGTCTCATCTCTGCTCGAAAGAGCAGTTGTGGAGAGGTAGGTTGAGGGTATGGAATTTACTGACCCTCATTGAAGTATACACAAAGGTATCAGGGGTCAAAATCTCTATTTTGGGCCCATGGCAAAGGACAGATGAGGGAATTGCATCCTAGTTCACTGATAGGGTCAGAGAGTTTAAGTTTGGTGCAAAATAGAATATAGTCTAGACCAGGTGGGTGTGACTATGGAGAAGACAGGCATGGTCAGTGAGAATAGGATGAATAGATAGTTCCAGGAACAAACTATGATGTTTCTCTGGAAAGTGGAATTGTATGAGTATTTTAAGTTTGTGGTTTAGGAAGTAAATATAACTTTACTTGCACAAGGCTCCAGCAAAACCATCACAGCCTTCCCCATTATTTTGCCTGGTCACATTCTCTGGCCATGCCTTTCTTGCATCTCTCTGAAGTATCCAGCTCTCCCTAGTCTTCATTTATCAAAAATTACTCTAAAGAAAGGATTGGAAATTAATCTTTACTTAGGTCAAATAACTAACAGATACCCTTCTTTGTCCTTTTCTATTTTAACGAAGCTCCAAGTGTAGCAGGGTATGAATGTTCAACTTAATTTAACATGAAAATTTAATGATTGCTTTGATGGATTAACCCAATCTAGGGTGGAGGATTCCTTTTTCCCCCTTCCAACTCTCTATGCAGAGTACAAATATTTCCCCTCACTTCTGTACAATGTTGGGAAACCCTGTCCTCCCTATCATCAAGCAAATAGAAAACAGTGCCTAATGTTGTAGGTTCTGGTTTTGAGTGGCTGTTTAATTCTATTGTGGAAGGAAAAAGGAGTGAAATTTTTATATGGAAAAGATGAAGTGTGGATGGGAATCCAGGGAAGGACAAGAGGGAGAAGAGAGGAGCATGGATGGGGGTGTTGCCTATGAACTTATCTGGGAAGTTGTCTAACATAGGTAGGCACTCTCTGCCCAGCTCCCAGTACACACTACCCAGGATGTGTCTGAGAAGCTGAGAGAAGATACATTGATAACATTTCCTTTTAAGGGCTCAGAAGACTTTACCAGTCAAATGCTTTGCCTTCAGGGATGAATGCAGCCCACCCCCCAACCCCCCCATCTCTTGATCAGTGGCCCCTTTTGCACCTGCCAGCCACTGGCTGAAAACCCAGTAAGACTGTTTTTCGTCAGAGGCAGCTTCCCTTTCGGTTGCTTTTCCACAACATTTCAATGCCCACAAGCCTAAGTAGCTACTACATACCTAAAGACACGATGGAGAGAACTCTACATCTGATTTGGACTAAGACTGCAGTGAACAAACTTAAAATCTAAGCTGGTACAGTGGTTTAGGTGATGTCACTATTACACAGACTTTAAACTAAAAAATTAGACTCCAAAGTAGCGTTTCAAACATCTGTCAGAGGACAAGAGGAGGCATTTTAAATCATTTCGGTATGCTCAGTCTTGTCCATGGCCATACCACCCTGATTGTGCCCTATCTTGTCTGATATGCTCAGTCTCAGCTAACAGGGAAAAGATATGGAGAAATATCAAGTGGACATGGACAGAGGGGAGAAAGAGGAAGAGAGGGAAGTTCTCAGAGATCACACATCTGATTATAATTTTAAAAGACTGGATTTGAATAGCAAGACATTGTGGGGAAATGCAATTTGGGGGCACACAGCATGAAAACTGGAACATTGTATCATTTATTGATTATATTTTGTAATCTTGGAAAGAGAAGGAAAAAGCAAGAGGGGAAAACAAAAGGGTGGAGTTCAGTGAATTACAAAATAGTTAGATTTACAGAATATGTTACAATATGTTACAAAATATGTTAGAGGACATTTTTAAGAACACTGCCAGTAAGGCCATAAAATTAAAATACCGGAATGTCCCACCCACCCTAAGATCTCCATATAGACTGTGACGGGAATAAGGAAAAGTAAGCTCGTTCCCCCTGAGCATAATTTAAAACAATTGAAGAGAAATTCTAATGCATAGCATAGAAAAAGTGTAAAGAAATGAAATATGTGTCATTCTATTCATTCATTATTAAATGAATTTTTTAAATTTATTAAAATACTTAAGATTCTTCAAGTGCAATGCTGCAAACTTTTACAGAGCCAGTGAGCAGGATGAAGCTGTTGGGGAGGAAGAAATTTTCCACTACACTTCTAGCTTCTTTCAGCTGGTCTAATAATTAAATTAACATGAGACAGATTATAGGAACCTCACATACATAAGTGGGTCAGAGACACCACACATATGAGAGCTTTCCATACCCACACAATTAAATTTGACTTTCTCCTATTAATCTGCCTCATGTCAATTTAATTCTTAGACCAGCCAGAAGAAACTAGAAGGGTAGAGGAAAATTTCTTCTTCCCCCACAGTTGGCATAGTTGGCAGGGTAAATTTCCCTGGCTGAACCCTGCTCCCTCCAAGGTTGCTGCAGCTCAGAGATCCTGGCACATCTGACAAGGACCGGCAGAAGGTAAGTGTCTGGCCCTGTCAGAATCCCAGATCTCTGCCTGCTACAGGGTTTATTGGAAGTGAAAGTAGTGAGAAACTCTCTCTTTCCTAAATTTAGCTTAGCAAGAGAAGATGTTGGTGAAACTAGTTGCTTGGGCAAAAAATCGACTCTGGTAAAGATTTGGGATGAATACTCTTCTTTTCTGTTGATCCTGTTCCTCCCAGAGATGGTCATTGTTTTTCTTTTGTCTCTGCCAGCTGGTAGATGCGTCTGGCAGGTGGCCAAGGAGACTGTGGATCCGAGCTTAGGGAATCTGAAAAATCACCCTATTCTGTTCAAAACCGTGGGAAACACACAACTTCCTGTATTTTGGAACAGCTATTTAAAAACAGGGCCCCTCATAGTTATCGTCTTTAGTTTCTTGGTCTAACTCTGGGTGTACATTTTGTGTCTTTGGAGGACTGCATCCTTTGTGCTCTCTTTTGGGGATGCCTCCTGCCTCCATGGTTAAGCCATAAAAAGGCTTATTGGCTTGAGTCAGTGTTAAGATCCTACTCATCAATGGCCAGATGATGAATCCTTTAAATTGGAAACATTTCTAAATTGGAAAAAGTTTTTTCAGGGTGTGCTCATATTGGCTTAACGGCTGGCCATTAAGACTTCCTTAGTAAGATGGAAGGACAGAAATTAAAACAAAAATCAAGGTCCACTGAGATCCCTTTCTATTCGCCTTCAGACGTTTGAAAAAACCAGGACATTAGAAATACAATTGTCCAGCATGTAAGAAGAAAAAGGAAAAAAAAAGTAACAGCTAGACCTAGGGACACCCTAACAAATGAAAGAACAAAAAGTTAGGCTTAAAACAAAAATGCAATGTGAAACCTCCTTCTTAAAATCTGGCCCCATCTGCCTGTTTTAGCTTCCTTTTTTGCACAAGATTTGCAGACAGCGCTCCAACCTAATCTCTAAGAATTTACAGGTTACTCAAATAAATGCTGAAGGCCAGAAAATGAATTTAGCAGCAGCAGCACCTGGAACAGGCAGTGGGGCTTGCTTTGCTCCACTCTGTAATTAGGCTCTCCTGGCTTCAGGACTTCCTATGCAATGTCTTTTGTGGGTATATCATAGATACCCACCCAAGGGATTCACGTCCTGGGACAACAAGAGATCTTTTGAATTGTGAAGTCTTGTTACCTCCACTTTCAGAAGAGCCGACCAAATGTAGAAAAGGAATAGAAAGATCAACGGCCATTATGCAGTGCCCAGTCAAGAGAGGAAAATAAAATTTCACATTGTGCCTTCCTTTCCAAATCCAGACCCGTTGGTTATTGACCCTTTTTCTCCCCCACATAG